GCATTTTCCTTCAAGTACAGCTTTGGCTTTACCTCACATGTTTTGATGAGCAAATTGCTCATTTCTAAGTAAATTTGTATTTCAGGTTTAATTGTTCCTTTAACCCAGGGATTACTCACAAGGGTATTTTGTAAAGTCCACGAGAATTGGAGTGTTTTTTGTTGCTTTTGTTGTTGTTATCAATTCCAGTTTCATTGCAGGGTAGTCACAGATGCCGTATGTATCAGTTTTGTTTATGACATAGTCCAGTTTTGTGGGGTGTGGGGGTTGGGAAGATCAGTGTGGGCTCCTGACCTCGAATAACTGCTGTCAAGTTCATTATTGAGACAATCAAGAAATCCGAATATGAACTGTTTATTAGATGATCACATTGAATCAATATTAAAACTCTTGAGGGTGGAAGTGATGTTATAATTATGGAGGAAACTGAAATTGTTTTCAGTGGACACAGGCAAAGAGCTTATGGGGGTGATAGCCGGTGCCTGCACCTGCACCTTCTGATGGTTCAGGCTGCGGGAACTGCTTTCAACCCTTGGGCCATGAAGGGGACAGTGGGGGTGCCTGGGGCAGCCTGTCAGGGTCTTCCAGACCAGCTTGGGTTGCTCCTGGCTTCCTGATGTCTTGCCTTCAGTCCGTTTGTCAGGATGATGGACCATCATATATTAAAGATATGTGTATATTTCCCTTCATTATACACGTGTGTTGATGTGTGCCATGGAGTCCATTCCGACTCACAGCGCCCCTAGAGGACAGAGTGGAACTGCCCCACAGGGTTTGCAAGGCTGTCAATCTCCACAGAAGCAAAGCCCAAACCACACCCACTGCCGTGGAGTCGATTCTGACCCACAGCGCCCCTAGAGGACAGATTGGAACTGCCCACAGGGTCTCCAAGGCTGTTAGTCTTTACAGAAGCCAACTGCCACATCTTTCTCCCACCGAGTAGCTGGTAGGTTTGACCCTCCAACCTTTGGCTTAACAGCCTCGTGCTTAACCACTGCTCCACGTGGGCTCCTCCCATAAAGACCACAGCCTGGGAGACCATGAGGCAATTCTGCTCTGTCCCACAGGGTCACTGTAAGTCAGAACCAACTCAATGGCACATGACACCAGACGTCTCATGTATGTATATGCAACCACCTCCAAGACATACTTGGTAAAACACACACACATACCCTTGCTCATACAGACTCACACACAGACACACACACACAGACACACACATGATGTAGGACTGTGCATACGGCATGTTCCATTTGTGTTAAAGATACTATACATGCATAAGTTATCCAGAAAAATACACAAGAAACCAGAGCTCGCTCTTATTTTCCCAGGGCTGCCAAGACAAAATATCACCAAGTGGGGCTTTAAAGAACAGAAATGTTTCGTAACGGTCCCTGGTGAGAAAAAGTGGGGAGCTGAGGATGGATGGGATCCAGACACAGGCAGGCTCGTTCTCTTTCTACCATGTGCAGACAGCTACTTTAAAGTGTTCTGCTTTGTTTTTCAATTTCTTAAATAAACTACTTTCCTCAGTTTATATTTACAGCACCTCTATTCCCCCTGATGCTCAGTTATTGTATCATTTAATTCTCTGCTCATCCATGAGATATGGGAAGTATTTTCTCTCCATTTTACAGAGGGGGTAAACTGAGGTTCAGAGAGAAGTTCCCAGGGCAGGTAAAGACAGAACAAAAATCAAAAAACCAAACCCACTGTGGTGGAGTCAATTCCAACTCACAGCGCCCCTAGAGGACAGAGTGGAACTGCCCCACAGGGTCTCCAAGGCTGTCAATCTTCACAGAAGGAAAGCCCAAACCACACCCACTGTCCTGGAGTCGATTCTGACCCACAGCGCCCCTAGAGGACAGAGTGGAACTGCCCCACAGGGTCTCCAAGGCTGTCAGTCTTCACAGAAGCAAAGCCCAAACCACACCCACTGTCCTGGAGTCGATTCTGACCCACAGCGCCCCTAGAGGACAGAGTGTAACTGCACCACAGGGTCTCCAAGGCTGTCAATGTTCACAGAAGGAAAGCCCAAACCACACCCACTGCTGTGGAGTCCATTCTGACCCACAGCGCTCCTAGAGGACAGAGTGGAACTGCCCCACAGGGTCTCCAAGGCTGGAATCTTTATGGAAATAGGCTGCCTTATCTTTCTCCCAAGGAGAGGTTGGAGGATTTGAACATCCAACCTTTTGGTTAGCAGCCAAGCTCTTTAGCCACTGGGGCACCAGGGCTCCTCCAGGAACAGGCAGATCTTTTTTTTTTTTTTTTTTTCCCAGATCATGTGAAAGTGAGCATGTAGCATGATGGCTCCTGTTTGCATCTTTCTTTTTTTAAAAAAACCTAGAACCAAGAGAGGGGCTCTCTGGTGGCCTAGTGCCTAAGGCATCTGACTGCTAACCAGAAGGCTGGCGGTTCAAACCCACCAGCCACTCCTCGGAAGGAAGATGGGGCAATCTACTTCCGTAGTGATACTGTCTCGGAAACCCAAGGAGGGGTCGCTATGAGTCGGGTCCGACTAGATGACAAATAACAACAATTCAGAAGGCATTAGGACTAGGAACCCACCGTACTCCTGTGTGACTTAGCTAATAACATCCTCAAACCAATAATGTCCCAGGTGAGGTTCCAGTCACAGGTGTAGAGACTGGGAGTCAACACACCTTTCTGGAGGACAATTCAATCCATAAGAGCTGGCATGGAGGCCTCGCTGGGGACATCCTTAGAGAGTCTGCTTCCACATCGCTCACCTCCATAACTGCTGGGACAGACTGCACAAATGGCCCCAATTCCCCATCCCCTCCTGTATCCATGACCCCTGTCCCCTTTGCAATGCAGCTTTCCAGATTTCCCCATCAAGGGCTGGAGTCTGTTTCCCCACCCCTTGAATCTAGGAGGCGTTCCTGGGTGGTGCAAATGATTAAGCACTAGCTGAAAGGTTGGAGTCTGGGTCCACCCAGCGATGCCTCAGAATAAAGGCCTGGCAATCAACTTCTGAAAGAACACAGCCATTGCAAATCCTATGAAGAGCTGCTCTACACTCGAGGTCTCCATGAAATGGAAGTAACTCAACAACAACTGGTGTGGTTCTTTGGTTTTTGCATCTAGGCTGACTTGCCTTGGCCGATGGAATCTAATAGCAGCTATACTGTGAAAAGTTCCAAGCCTAGGCTTCAACAGACTTTACATGTTTCCCTTCTCACTCCTGGTACCCTCCCAGCCACCATGGGAACAAGCCCAGGCTAGCCCATGGGATGAGGAGAGATCTATGGTTCAGTCAGTCCCATCATCCCAGCTGAAAGCCAGGCATGCCCTGCAAAAGAAGGGTCACTCAGCTGAACACAGATACGTGAGGCAACCCAGCCCCAAGCAGGAGAACTGCTCAGCCGAGCCCAGACCCAACTTTCTGGCTCACAGAAATCACAAAAGGTGGTTGTTTCAGTGCCTCCTTTGCCATGAGACCAGAAGAACTGGATGGTGCCCGGCTAACCACTACTGAATGTTTTAATCAAAGATTTGATAGAAGAGTCCTGATCAAAAGAGGGAACGTGCAGAACAGAATTTCAAATTCTTGTGGAATCCAGGCTTTCTGGAGCCATTAGGATGAATGAACCTCTGAAAGCCATCACCCTGAGATAATCTTTAAACCTTAAACCAAAAATATCCCCCGAAGTCTTCTTAAAACCAAACACTAGTTTAGCTTAAGTAGTAAAGACTGTCAGCCTTAACATAGTGCTCTTTGGAGAACTATCTACATGGGATCAAATTAGCAACAGCAACTTGAAAGATTAGATAGGAGCCTTAGGGGCCAACGAGTGTATGTTAATGGGGGAGAACCAACTCAGAAAAGAAAGATGAGAATGGTTGCCCAACTGGCAGCATGCCATCAACATCCCTGAACTGTACGTGTATGTGGTGGTTATGTTGTGTGTCAACTTGGCTGGGCCTGGGTGAGTGGCTGGGCAGCTGATGGTAGTTATTCCCCATGAGGAGACTGTCAATCAGCTCCATGGTGGGATCCACCACAAGCAGCTGAGTAGCTGCCTTTGGGATGTGGTCTGCTTCCTGTGTATAAGGAGAAGCCTTGGGAATGGTCTCTAGCCTGTGGCATGCTTGGACCCTGCATGGAGCCGTGTCGTTGCTCAGCAGCCTGCCATGCTCTGCCGACCTTGGGACTTACAATGGACTTAAGTTAATGGCCTGCCATGTGGTTTGGTAACATCGGGACTATGCCTTTTGACTTGTCAACCTTGGGGCTTCTCAGCCTCAGCAGCCAGCAGCTGTCTGAGTGAAGAAACGCCTCTAGCTCCAGTGGGCCGGGAGCAGGAGGCAGAGCTGAAGCCCAAGGTTGAAGGGCTTTCCCCCAGCCCCTGGAGCCTGGCCCTTTGAACTTGGACTTAAAGCCTCCAAATTGTAAGAATAAACTCCTGTTTGTTAAGGCCGTCCCATTGGTGGCATATTCCTGTCAGAGCGGCACCAGGGAACCAGCACAGTGTACAAACTATTAAATCACTGTATGTTCCGCTCTGTCCATTCTAAACAACAACAGAAACTAAAACAGAAGTTTCTTTAAAGGTTGTGGTTTCAAGCCACTGAGTTTGGGAGTGTTCGTCACGCGGCAGAAGCTGACTGATACGTTTGGAGAAAGACAGGAGTGGAGGGCATGTCCCTCCCATGAAGGGTATTTCAGGGACACTTGCACCCTATCGACCAGTCACACGGCCATCCCTAGTTACAAAAGACACTGAGAAATGAAGGCTTTTCTTTTTTGTTTCCTGGCTGGTCATGTGCCAGTTAAAAAGAAAGTCTTCCTATAAAAAGGAAGGGAGAATGGATACTGGGGAATAGATTTATGTTGTTCCTAAAAAGATTTAGATGAGAGAGAGCTAGGAAGACTGCCTGGAAGAAGGGGGAGGGTTGGTCAGCGTCTAGGATGTCAGCCCAGTGAAGGGGCTTCAGACTAAGCAGAAAGAGTTCCAGCTTCCCCTTGAAGGTTTCTATCGTTTTCCAGCGTCTTCTACCTTGGAGACCTGTTGGCTGAGAACATCCTCTTCACCAAATGCCCTGGCCAGGGCGGATGGTATGGACTGCAGGAACTTTTTCTTGAAATCCCTGCCTGTGAGGACATAGAGGAAGGGGTTCAGGCAGCTGTTCAGGCAGCCCAGTGAGAAGGCTGCCCAAAGGAAGAGCAACATTTGGGGGTCGATGGTGTCTCTAGACTTCACGAAACGCCACAACTGGACACAGAGAGCCACAGTAAATGGGAACCAGCAGACAAAGAAGGTGGTCACCAGCATCAGCAGTAACCTCTTCATCCAGTTGACACGGATCCAGCCCTGCTGCTGGAAATTGGCCCGGATGAGGTGGGCGCAGATGCCGATGACCACCAGGGGCAGCAGGAAGCCCAGAAGGAGGTGGGTGACGGTCATGGCCACGCGACCCCCCAGTGCCACTTGCTCCAAAGTCAGGGTTGCCTCCAATGCCCCGTTCTCCACGCTGAAATTGAAGTAGCAGTAGGTACAGTTCTTCTGGGCACCGGTGGTGCGGAAGATCAGGTATGGAACGCACGTGAGGGCAGCCAGCAGCCACACGCTGGCGGCCAGCCACTTTGCTCGTCGCACGGTGCGGTGGTTTCGGGTCCAGATCGGGTAGAGGACAGAGATGCAGCGGTCGACGGAGATAAGGACCAAGAGGCAGATACTAGTGAAGAAGGTGAGGTTCAAGAACGCCTGGTAGAGTTTGCAAACCCATCTGTGGAAGGGCCACTCACCCACAATCAAGATGTAGATTGAAAACGGCAAGGACAGTAGGACGGCGAAGTCGGCAAGGGCCAGATTGAGGAACCAGACGGTGGTGACGGTGCGAGGCATTCTGAAGACCGTCATCCACAGGACCAACCCGTTGGCCACCGAGCCAATGACGCAGGACACACACAGGACGGTGATGGTCAGGTGGCGGAGGTACCCCACCTCCTCGGGCTGGCACTTGGAGTCTGAGGCAGCAGTCATTTTTCTAGAACCAGAATCAGGAATAACCACACATCAGTAACACAAGATGCCTTTTCACAGGAGCCCACAGTCTTTGTAGGACCTCATTCATTCATTGCCTAGTCAATAAATCTTTATGGAGCGTTGGCTATGTCACAATGTCACCATTGTTCCAGGTCCCAGAGATAAGTCATTGAATGAAACAGTCCTGTGTGGGACTGACTCGTAGTAGGGGATGCCACACAGTAAACCAAGGGCACAGGCATAACAAATGCAGTAAACAAATCCATGATGGACTATTATTTCAGAACGTTGCTACTGTTGCTGGGGGTCAATGAGTCAATTCCAACTCATGGTGATCCCATGAACAGAGTAGAACTGCCCCATGGAGTTCTCTTGGCTATAATTGTGACAGAACGGATCACTGGGTCTTTTCTCCTGTGGGGCAGCCTTTCAGTTAGCAGTCAAGTGCATAATCAGGGCCACGGTCAAGGGAAAAACAGAACACAGTCCATAGAAACAGAAGGTGCACAGAGAGAGAGAGTCAGGGTTGCCTCTAAGACTGTTGAACAGGTAGAAACAGGAGCTGCCATCAAGTGCAATGGGGAAGACAGTGGGGGAGCAGGTTTGGGGTAAGATCAGGAGCTTAGTGTTGGCTATGTTGTGTGAGGTGCCTGGAAACTTAAGTGGGTAGTTGGATGAATGAGATTAAGCCGGGAGAGTTCCCAGCTGGTGATAGACATGGGAGAGTCATTAGAAGCAGGTTCCTTGGAAGGTTGCTCAAAGCAAAACCCAAACCCGCTGTCGTGAAGTTAATTCCAACTCACAGCGCCCCTAGGGGACAGAGTGGAACTGCACCACAGGGTCTCCAGCTGTCATCTTTACGGAAGCAAAGCCCAAACCACACCCACTGCCGTGGAGTCCATTCTGACCCACAGCGCCCCTACAGGACAGAGTGGAACTGCACCACAGGGTCTCCAAGGCTGTCAATCTTCATGGAAGCAGGCTGCCTCATCTTTCTTCCACGAAGCAGCTGGTGGGTTTGAACCACTGCTCTTTTGGTTACCAACCAAATAAACACTTTAACCCCCACACCGCCAGAGCTGCTTTAGGAGGTTGCTGGTGCTGTGGAAAAAGTAAAAGTAGGGGCTTCTCCTTGTTGGTGATATCAAGGGAGTTCTGTCAGGTTAATAGTCTCATCAGTAACAATGAGGAAACTTGGACATAAAATTGAAAATAGACCCATCATTTGAAAACTCTGGAGAGTGATGGAAATGAGGCAGAAATGGGAGGAGAGTCTACCCTTGAAAGAGGACCTGTAAGAGGTCAGATTTGCCAGCTTGCAGCTTTAGTCTTGGAAATCAGGTATTTCTAGCAGCAAAAAGCTGAAGCTTCATGGGCTGAGGTGTGAGAGGCCAGAGTTCAGAGCTGGCAGACCAGCCAGAAAGACAAACCCCAATATCTGCATGTAAAATCCACTCACATCGTTGGCTGTTGAAGCTATGTGTGGTGGTTATGTTTGGGTGTCAACTTGGCTGGGCCTGGTTGAGTGGCTGGGCAGCTGGTGGTAGTTATTCCCCAGGATGAGACTGGCAATCAACTCCATGGTGAAATCTACCACCAGCAGCTGAGTAGCTGCCTTTGGGATGGGGTCTGCTTCCTGTCTATAAGCAGAAGCCTTGGGAATGGTCTCTAGCCTGTGGCACACTTGGACCCTGCATGTAGCCATGTCGTTGCTCAGCAGCCTGCCATGCTCTGCTGACCTTGGGACTTACAATGGACTTAAGTGAATGGCCTGCCGTGTGGTTTGGTAACATCGGGACTGTGCCTTTTGACTTGTCAACCTTGGGGCTTCTCAGCCTCAACAGCCAGCAGCCGTCTGAGTGAAGAAACGCCTCTAGCTCCAGTGGGCCGGGAGCAGGAGGCAGAGCTGGACCCCAAGGTTGAGGGGCTCTCACCCAGCCCCTAGAGCCTGGCACTTTGCACTCGGACTTAAAGCCTCCAAATTGTAAGAATAAACTCCTGTTTGTTAAGGCCACCCCATCTGTGGTATATTCTCATCAGAGCAGCACCAGGGACCAGAACACTATGCATGCAGGAGCGACCTCAGGAAGCCCGGTGAGAAAGCAACAGCTGGAATTCGAAAGAACTGAGCAGAGATTTCATCTGTCGCCAAACACAGGGACGACAGAGTTGGAGTTAGAGCCCAGCCACTGAGCAAAAATCACTCTTCCAAGGAATGTAACACAATGCAGGGCCTACCATCCATCGTTCATAATGTCCAGCAGTCAACAGAAAACCAGCAGAAATGTGGAGAAACGGGAGACTGGGAGCCACAGTTGAGGGAAGAACAGAAAACAGTCCATGGAAACAGAATGTGCAGAGAGAGAGAGTCAGGGTTGACTCCAAGACCGTTGAGCATCTAGAAACAGCAGCTGCCATCAAGTGCAATGAGGAAGACAGTGGGGGACCAGGTTTGGGGAAAGGTCAGGAGCTTAGGGATGGCTATGTTGTGTGCGGTGCCTGGAGACATTAAGTGGGTAGTTGGATATGTGAGATTTGGGGGAGAGGGTTCCCAGTGGGTGATAGACGTGGCAGGGTCTGTGGAACTGAGATGGTACTTTCAGACTTGCACGTGGGAGACCAAGCGCATGAGTGTAGACAGAGAAAACTCTGGTGTTGAACAAAGAGCATGAGCTTAGATGTCAAACAGACCTGGGTGGGAATTCTCTTCTAGACACTGACTGCATGATGTCAGGCAAAGGGTTTCCCCTCTCTGAGCCTCAGTTTGCTCACCTTAGATAGAAATGATGGGATGTTTGAACACCCCTCTCTCCTGACTCCATCTCCGAACTCAAACACCGAACTTGAAAAAACCAAAACCAAACTCAAAAACCAAATTGATTCATCCAGGCAATTCCAACTCATAGCAGCCCCCATTGGGTTTTCAAGGCTTTAAATCTTTAGGGAAGTAGATTGTCCCATCTTCCTTCCACGGAGCAGCTGGTGGATTTGAACCACTGAGCTTCTGGTTGGCAGTCAAATGCCTTAGGCACAGCACCACGAGAGCGCCACCTTTAGTGCATCACAAAGCCCTTTTGGTTTTGCCTGAATAACATCTCTTGCATCTGTCCACTTCTCTCTGCCTCCAGAGTCCCCTCTTGCAAGCGTCTGGCTTCTACAAGCCATTGACCACACCACGGCCAGAACGATCTTTCGAAAGATCAAATCTGAAAGTGCATCTGTGGCTTCTCATTGCACTTGGAATAAATACAAGTCGACTGAACACAGCTTGCAAGGCCTGAGTGATGGGGGGGTCTACCAGCCTCCCCGACTCCCTGGGCCCCTCGTTTTCCCTTCCTCATTGCATTGCCACCTCCTCGCCTTTGTCTCCGTCACCGATAGTCACCCTGTTCCTTCCTACCACAGGCCCTTTGCACAAGCTGTTGCTTCTGCCTGGAACATCCTTCTTTCCTCGGGTTTTTTTTAAAGTCATCCTTGAGATCTCAGGGCAAATTCTCACTTCCTCCTAGTAAGCCTTTCCTCACCACCATGACTACAGAAGACCCCTTATCGAAGCTCCCCTCCCACCTTGAGTTTCTCACACGTACCAGCTTTACCCGTGCTGGCTGGATCACATCCACCTCCCCTCTAGACTCCCCGCCCAGAGGTGCCTTGGTGGCATAGCGCCTAAAGCACTTGACTGCTAACCACAAGGCTGGTGGTTCAAACCCACCAGCCACTCCTCAGAAAGAAGGTTGGGCAATCTACTTCCATAGTGATACTGCCTCGGAAACCCAAGGAGGGGTCGCTATGAGTCGAGTCAAGTCAATGGCAGTGACTTTGGTTTGGGCTTTGCTTCCAGTGGGTGTGGTTTGGGCTTTGCTCCCATCAAGACTGACAGCCTTGGAGACCCTGTGGTGCAGTTCCACTCTGTCCTCTAGGGGCGCTGTGGGTCAGAATCCCCTCCAGGCACTGGGTTTGGTTTGGGCTTTGCTTCTGTGAAGGTAGGAGCTCTGGTGGCGTAGTGCCTAAGGCACTTGACTGCTAACCAGAAGGCTGGCGGTTCAAACCCACCAACCACTCCTCGGAAGGAAGGTTGGGCAATCCTACTTCCGTAGTGATACTGCCTCGGAAACCCAAGGAGGGGTCGCTATGAGTCGAGTCAAGTCAATGGCAGTGACTTTGGTTTGGGCTTTGCTTCCAGTGGGTGTGGTTTGGGCTTTGCTCCCATCAAGACTGACAGCCTTGGAGACCCTGTGGTGCAGTTCCACTCTGTCCTCTAGGGGCGCTGTGGGTCAGAATCCCCTCCAGGCACTGGGTTTGGTTTGGGCTTTGCTTCTGTGAAGGTAGGAGCTCTGGTGGCGCAGTGCCTAAGGCACTTGACTGCTAACCAGGAGGCTGGCGGTTCAAACCCACCAGCCACTCCTCAGAAGGAAGATATGTATGGCAAGGCCAACATCTGCATTGTTCACTAGCCCAAACACATAGTTAAACAACAACAACAAAAAAAAAAATCCAAAGGCACTGCCAATCAAGTCAATTCCAACTCATAGTGATGCCCGTTGGGTTTCTGAGGTGGTGAATCTTTGTGGAAGTAGGTTGCCCAACCTTCCTTCCGAGGAGTGGCTGGTGGGTTTGAACCGCCAGCCTTCTGGTGAGCAGTCAAGTGCCTTAGGCACTACACCACCAGAGCTCCTTTTTAACACATAGCTTATAGAAGCTTCCCTCCCACCTCGAGTTTCTCACATCTACCTCAGTAAGTAATGGACGAATGATTGACTGAAGTAGATAATCTCCTCCTACTCACTCAGAAGATGGGTCTAAAAATGTGCACGGAGCCCCTACTGTCCATCCAACACTGTCCCAGGCATGGTAGGTAGAAAAGTGCTGGAAACAATTAAATGTTTCCCGACGGGGCTGACATCCCAGTGTCAGCAGCAAGTCCTCCACCAGGAGGTGTCCCGGAACCTTCTCCTCTTTGGCCACCTCCTATTTCTATGCCCCTCAGGGGGTGTAAT